CCATACGTGCCCTTTCACACCTTCATGTACACCTTCTCCCCTTCCCCTCCTCCCCTTCCTCCTCTCTTTCCAATACCGGTTTCCCTCCAACTGGCAGATTGATAAACAAACAGCTTATTTCGGTCCTGGGTTGTTTCTCGGTGTTGCCTCACGCGCACACACACACACACACACACACACAAACACGGAGACGCAAACATGCTCACACCAGTCCAACACCAGATACTCCAAGGGGAGCACCATTGACACAGAGCCGTCCTCGGTGGAGCGGCTCAGGTGAGTCTCAGGTGAACATCGCTGCCTGCGTGACGGCCGGACACACGCGAGAACACGCAAACGGAGATCCTGTTTGTATACACGCCTCTCGTGACGAATCTGCCCGAACAAGTGCGTCCACAGATGACGCGTTATGTTACGCAGCTCCCGTATTAGTCAGTGATTGTGTGGGGCACAAGGCGAGAAGTGGATTGAGTAAATGGGAGGCGTAATGAAGGAACATTGGAGTCCTCTGGCAGCAGACGAGAGGCCCGCACACGGCACAAAGCTGAAGGTAATGAGGACCGAGGTGTCAGTAGTGACGAAGGTAGAGCGAGCGGCCCAGGTGTGAGGACGGGCGACAACTACCGCTGCCATCACCACTCAGCCTCCTGCTCAGCTCGCTCTGGCCAAGCCAATTAGAGGGGCTCATCCGACACTCCGGTCTGCACCCTCCGTCAAGCTATCAGAACAAAAACAAAACATAAGGATTGATTGGGGAAGCTATTAGGTCAATTGATCCCGGTTTCCTTTCATCTGCGTGCACCTCCTTTTCTAGGTGGACAGATAGGACGTGGAAAGCTACTCCAATTACCCCGAGAACAAGGGTTAACCAGGATGCCCCGATGGACCGTCTCTCCATCTTTCTCTTGCGCGTGAGGCTCTTACGTGATTTTAGTTTTTGTGTAAATGCAGCACTCAATTGGAGCCAAAATATGTCATATCCATCAGAAATACAACTGTTACTCTCTGCAGGTGCCGCCGAACATGCGTTTTGTCTTTTCTTCTTGTTTCTGTAACGGCGGATATCAGCATTTGTGCGTTTCTCTCGTTGTGTGTGTGCTTTGATGCAGGCGCAGAAAGATCAGGATCCATCTGACTGAGCACCTTTGCCATTATGCACCTTTGGTTGGAGCTGCCATATCTGATTTGTTAACCTGGCAGACAACAAGGAGTCAAAGATTATATTGATTTGGGATCATTATTCCCAAGTGCATTCAACATTGTATCCTGGCACAGAGCTTTGAATAGCCATTAAATTCATGTTAAGAAATGAAAACTGACAATCCTGGAGTAAGCTAATAACTAGTGCTCGAAGTTGCTTTTATCAACATGAATAGGATAATCACACAGGCTCAAAGGGGCAATCAACGCCGACCATTAGAAACGGCGGTTAGTGTTTGGTCGTCGAAACGGCAGCGACTCCCTTTTTAAACACCAATTCAGAGTCTTCTTCTCTCTGACTGTGTAAAACCAAACGAATTGCTGGTGTGGCTGATTGGTCACATTGATTGAGCATCAAAGAGTCTTTTCACTGCCAAACCCCAAGTTGTCTCCCAGTCGATAGACCCACCCAAATACACCAGGCACTCAATCCAATGTGTTGCTACATGGACCCATCCAGCTAATTTAACACCCACTCAATTTATGAAAAAGAGTCCTCATTGATTTTTTTTTTTTTTGTTCATGTGCTGTTGTTGCTCCCGCACATTTTCGCCACGCCGGCGCCTACACACGCTCCAGCCTGGCAGCAATTGAATTGAATTAGTGTGTGGTGGGGTTCCTGTAAGATTGGCTACTCAAAGCCCACACCTTCGATCTTTCTCCAGATGAAGCAGCGGACGGCAGTTATGGACGACTGTGTGCGTGGCTTCACTCACACAGATCTCAGCAGCACACGGACCACAAGCTTCAAAATGGCAGCATGCTGCCCCATTGCTTCAGCACCTCTGCACCAAAACAAAGATTTTTGCTCGGTGTTGCTATGTTTGCTATTATGTACCTCCCCTCTTCTGCTATTTCACCTTGTTCTCTTCGCCCTGCTCTATTGTCTTTCAGGCTCTTGTTCTCGCCTGGTCCCTCTCTTTCCAACCCACTATCGCATGTTCATGCTCCCAAAAATTTAATCGGCCATTTCAACGGAAACGTAATGAAAAGCCACAGAAAATAGGTTATTTTTTATTGCAATAATTAGTCCAACAAAAGCCGTTCACACACATTTTGGTTTTGTCGGCAGTGAGGAAACACTAAACCGCAATAACTTTCAGTAAAATCAGAATGGCTTTCTTGTCAGCCTAATCAGGCTTGTGACAACCACCGAGCTGCCAGGTAAACAGTGCTGCCTAGAAGGGAAGCAGTGAGGAAAGGATACCTGGCACTGTACAATAAACCGGTTTCTAGGTCAGTTCAGCGAAAAACTTCCCTTCAGAGACATTGCATTTTTACATAACTGTAAAGGGCTTTACAGATTAGAAAACAAATCCTAAAACTGGCATACCATTCATTGGGTACTTCCATCTTATTCCATGGAAAAGGTTGAGAGAGAACTCACGGATCACCCACTAAATTGAAGCTAAAGCAGACAATTTCAATCTCAAAGCCATTCTGATTAGTATCCTCCGATGTGTCTCTATAGCAAACGCCAGCAAATTTGTAACGATAGCGTTGAAAATGTTGTTCCAAAATTGTCATGGTGAAGGTTTAACAAGGTTGCAGCTGCAGAATTTGAGGGCAATGCCAAAGGGACTTTTGGAAAAAAGAAAAAAAAACGGTAAAAAACAATCCAATCTTGTAGAGGGTTATTTTGAATGGATTATATTTTAAAATGATCCTTAGAATTAAAATAAATAAATGTGGACTATGGAGATGATTATTCAAAATAAATTCCCCTGAACAAAAAGGTCACTAAATCTTTTAGAATTCGGTGAATGTTTTTCTTCTATTTTTCTCTGGACCGACACTGATGCAATACATTTAATTGTCCTGAGGGTATGAAACATTATAGGTCATTTTCTTTTATATTCATAGCAGTGTTGTTTCTTTTTGCTTATTTTCAATTAACATATTCATTTAGTCAGTCTTGTCAAATTGCTGTTGGGGGTACATGAATATTACATAACGGCTAACACAAATGCAAAGGAAACATATACGAGTCCTCACTTTGGAGACAGGATTCCTATTCATAAAAAAACAGCGTGTCCGCCTGTGTGTGTGTGTGTGTGTGCATATGCATTAACACTCATGAAAGCCTCAGGCTCCAGCGTGCACGCCTGCACCAAACACACATTTATTTAAAAGTAAATGCATTGTTCAGCTTCTGCATACAGTATTGCCTTCACGACAACCTTCAACAGATTTGGCTGTTGAAGCCTGACCACAGCGCATCCCCCAAAATGCTGAACTCCGACTGAAATAAATCTAATTATGATTAGTGACTTATTAAAAGTCTGACGACCATTAATGCCATGCTAATGTATGACTATTATTCACTCATTGAAAGCCGAGAATAATTTTTCTGATGGTGATGTGACACGCAGACAAGGGGGAAATAAATCCTTCTGTCTTCCCGGGGAGAGTATTTGGCGGTGAACCAATTCCGAGTCTGGCTTCTTGAATGCCCAGATAACGCAATCAGACAGTTGCAATATTGCTGTTTTACCACCTGAAAAATTTGAATTTCATTCAGCCCCTTCAGACTAGTAGACATGCCAATTTTTCCCTGAGAATTGGCAGGACAAACACAATGCACCCCGGTGAAATGAGGAAAAGGCTCACCAGCGGAAAATAACTGTTTTCGGGGACTTTCGTGTTCGCCTGCTCAGGTTCAATTTTATCATAATATCACACGAAGACAAATAGTTTTTAGGCTGTTGATGCATTTTTATTAGATATGTTATTAAAATGGGAATTAGTTCAGAACAGTGACAAAATAAGGGGGCGCCTCAATTTCACGCAAACCTCTAAACATCACAGAGGCACCTTTGATAAAATGTGTGTATATGAGAGGATTGTTCCTGCTCTTGTTTTACGCTGTTATGAGTAGTTGCATTTATTATTTAAGACACAAACCCGTCGGGTTTGCTATTTCAATGCGTTCTCTAATTGAGATTTTAGGTTAGTTACATTTGAAGGGAGTCAAGCTAAGTCTGCTTTTGTCGGGGACTGCATTCCTCAATGGCTCCTTGGGGGTCCCCAGACCCTTGAGTGCAGCTGGTCCAAAGGTAATGATTTGATAGGTGCAGGATTAGTGGTGTAGTCTGGAACATGGGGGACAGGGCAGAGGAGTTAACTTTGAGCCTGCACACTTTGCATTGATTCCCCAGTAGTCAATGGGGTAACAGTATTAGTAATGTCTTTCTTTCTTTCTTTAAAAGAGCTGCTCGGTGCTCAGATGAAGAAGAAAAAAAAAGAATGAGCAGTGAGAGGGATGTGTTCTAAAATCACACGTGGAGCATCCTACAACTTCTTATCTGCTTTTTTTCTGGTAAGCAATTTGGAAAAAAAATAATCACATGTTATTTAACAGCCTCATGTCTTTTTCTTTTGTTGTGAGTCAACTTAAATTTACCAATCTGAACATTTTTAGCACCACTTTTTTTCCGCGGGACATTAAAACACAAACGTGCCCCCTATTCAAAGAGCGCAGGCCCGTGTGTGTTAATCAATACAGCTCCGAAACATTGGATATCGAGCCACGGTGCACAGGCCGACTCTGAAATCCCAATAACACGCATTTTTAAATATGAAGAGCCTGCTGTTGACGCACTGCACACACGAACTGTGTCAGTTTAATCTATAAAAAAAATATTTAAAAAAAGATGATTAAATAAATCGACTTACACGCTGGAACACTTCGCGGAGCGTGACACTGGACGCGTGACTGGCGCACATTACGTGCTATTACTGTCCCACTGGCATCACGTGTACTAAGAACATATAACACGAAGAGCGTGCTTAGTTCCTACCTCGAATCCTCCGATCTCTTTTTCCTTGATTCTTCAGTGTGTCTCATTCATTCTCGCTCCCCTCCTCACTCGCCTCCTTCTCCTCCTTCTCCTCCTCCCTCTGGTTATCACTCGTTCTCTCCTCTCTGGTCCCGTCTTCGTGCGGATGCATAAGAATTGAAAATGAATAGCCTGCTATCTTAAAGACAAACTGACGAGGGGGTAGGGGGGAAAAAAGCAGGGAAATAAAACAAAAATCCACCCGACTAAAGATCTGATAAAGTCAGCGGGTGAAGATCCTCGGGGACGGGGGAAGATTCTCACCAAGAGGCGCCCGGGTGGGCATCAAAATAAATAACAGCGACGGCACCATCGTGCTGCCGAAACAACAACAGTGACAGGGCGCGAGTTACTGCGACGTTCGCGGCCGTCGGATATCTCTGACTGAGGTGGAGGCAGAACACATCGGAAGTTGCGACCGTGCTGTCCGCCCGCCCGCCGCTGAGCATGTGAGCGAGCTGGAGAAAAAAAAAAAAAGAAAAGAAAAAAAGAAACGGGAATCAGACTCTCGGGATGCCTGGTGTCTCTTGACAGGACGCTCCCATCGTCGCCTTCGTGTTCTGGTAGTCTGAGAGAAAGACAAGAATAAAGGGATGTGTTGGGGAGGGTAAAATAAAAAAGCGGTAGGGTTTTTTTTGTTGTTGTTTTTTTTTTAAATCAGCCGAGGTAATTCGGATAGTGCGCGCGGGCAGTCCGCGCTCGTGCTGACGCACCGTCCGGATCGCGCGTCCGTGTCTCCCTCCTCCCCGTCGGCAGGCAGCGCGCACTCTCATCAGCACCGTTCACGCTGCAGTTCTGCATCAGGCCTTTCGCGACCTGGCGCACTCATCCTTCCGCACACTTAGTGGCCTAAGGACGGTTTCGGGAGAGTTTTTTTTTTTTTATAGCCGACCCACTCTTAAAACTGGGAAAACGCCACTTCTTCCCGCCCACTTGATTCCTCCTGGATAGCACAGCCATTTTTTTTTCTTAAACTTTAGTTTCCTAACTACTGCAGTTTCCCCAAATCAGCCTCAGGGACCATCAGGTGTCTGAGTAAATGTTCATTTTTGGCAGCCCCGCCAAATTAAAAGGGCTTAGAATCACTGTTGTAGTTACAGAAATGCTGCATGTAAAGATATAAACTAAATACTTTCATAACTGCCCCAGTGTTGGTGGCACAACAGTGGCACATTACTCACTCACATGCTCACAGGAGGGCGGACAACCCGATGTGTTCTCACTGTTATATCCAAACTCACTGTGACACATTTAATACTTTACAGTATCTATTCATACGTTGAGGCTTTCTATACTTAACTCTCCTCAGATTTGGTTTGCTTTTATATATAATAAATAAAACATCTAATGCAACTATACTTACGTCCAGTGTTTTCACTGCATTAACTTTGACCGGGTTGCATGTGAGTGTGCCATCAACTGCAGCCCACGGCCGGCTCTCATGCTGCCAACACAGCCCCGATCCTCCGGGTTCCCCCTCAGGCCAACGCTGAAAGTAGTAGTTCTGACACTGTTGCCGTTGTTTGCACCGTTAGCACCGTCAGGTGTAAGCCGTCGCCATGAAGCGAGCCGTGTGGAGGAAAAAGATGTTCTACAAATTTCAAATTTAGAGCCTGTCCAGTACTTTTCATACCATACAGATGTGTGCTCAGCAAGTTGAGAAACAAAGTTGTAAAAGCATTGTGTGGGAATCATATATGTACGCACAAGAGTACGACCACAGCAACTTGTAGACTAGATTAGATTAGATGTGCACCGTCTTGAATTCAAATTTTGATTTTTTTTCATTAGTTTTACAGCACTGCAGGCGATGTATAATGTTAAAGCACAGGATCTCATAGGGGGTAAAATCTTTTTAAGATAGTAGTTTGACCTGCGGAAATGTATTTTTCTTAGGTATTTTCTGGTATTCTTCCACTGACTTGCACAAGAATCAAAATTACTTGAGTGTTATAAACAGTCCAGGGACACAGCGAAGACTGAAAATAATCCGAGGAACACAAAGGTTAAAACCTTTTACTGGAACATGACTATCTGCACTCCACATACGCTCTACGAGTGAGGGGGTGATTCAGGGGAAGACACACAACAGCCAACATTTTCTGGAAAAATTGGATTTCCTGTGTTACTCCTCAACATGCTGAACTACCACCACGAGTGTTTCTTCATTCACTAGTGGGTAATATCAAAAAGGTTGTGTTTGTACTATGTATATGAATAGCAGGTTGACATGTTGTATAGTATACAGTATTTTATTAAACAATGTACTGTAGTGTACAACCTTTATGTCCACTTCACCATATGTGCCGTTTACTATAATGTCATTTACAGTTTGTCGTGTACGATATTGTCTTTAACATAAAAAGTGTACATCAGCATCAAGACCCAGGGGACTGTAACTTCAGGAGGAAGCAACATAGAGGTATGATATTATATTTTAGTAGAATTTCATATACAGTATATTAAGAAATGCATATTCAAATAAACACATTGTTACAATGATATAAACCCAGGTTCAGATTATTCCGAATATTTTCATAGAGAACATCATAATCAGAACAAAACAGAACGCTAATCTCTTTTCTAAAGGCATTCTTCCTCATCTCCACCCCTACTGGCCAGATTTAAATAAAACACTGTAGATAACGACTTCCTTAATTGTGACATTTGTTATTCGCTTTATGCAGCAACAGCGACTTTTTCCTCTTCTCGTTCAAGCCCAATAGTATTTGTTGGACCATTTTGACTCAAGTTAAGTATTAAAACAATGAAAGCGGCCTGAGAACATTCAGCTGAGTGGCAATTGGATGGTTCGATTTTTCTCCTTTACCACAGTAGCACAAAGAATTAAGTAAATAGTTGATGGAAATTAGTTCTGCTACAAATATACTATTGCTGCACTCACTTACATCCACATGTCGAGTCTTGATCCAATGTCTTTGGCAATTTAATAATCATATGTCGGCCCATATTTCTCCCATTTTTGCAGCCATCTGCGTTCGACCAGTCTCCTCTGTACAAGTGATTTCCCTTTACTCTCATTAACGCACACAAGGTGATTAGACATTTCCTTTGTTCTAAATCCACTTCCATACCTGTTTACTTCTTTAATCTCCATGTCCTCCTATTGCTGTGTCCTTAGTTGTGTTCCTCTCTTCCACTGAGCTTTCTTTACTTGATGACAGCGCAGGTATTTGAAATTTATAAGCCCCACAATCAATGCTCTGATTCGTACCTTTCCCGGGTCTTCAGTTTTGGAATTGGACTCCTGTGGTTCTTCGTCTTTGATATTTTCTTGTTTTTTTTCCTCTGGGCTGCCCTTGTCCTATTTCTGTGGCTTGGTGCCCTCAAGATCTCAAGAATTTGCCATTGACTTCTTTTTTTCAGGCTTCTTTGAAAACATCAAGGAACACATACAGAAAATATTTCATAGCAACATGTTTGCAATAACAGATATATTTTCCCTAAAGCAGCACTATTCACACACTCCTACAAATTAGACATTTAAATGAATTATTAAAATGCTACATGTTCCAGTAAAAACTTGTACTGCATCTGCTATGATCCCACAAATTATTTATTAGTGGGATCATAGCAGTTCTTCTCCCCCCTCTAAAAATGCCTTTGTCAGTTTCTATAATGATGGCTAATACTGGGCTCTACTGAATGGGCTCTACACGCCATTGCCACTTAGCCTTCTGTCATACAGTAGCCTACCTACTCTGTAACACTGCTCACAAACTCACTCAATTGACCTTCATGGGGCGCCTGAGTCATTGTGCCAATAAGCAGCTAGCATAGTTTATGCTCTACGCCAGTCGCACCCTGTCATTTCAAGAGCAAGTGCTATTCATGCAAAGTCACTGGGTGCTGTGCAATCACGGGGTACTTTTTACAAACCTCGTCGTCGAGTGCACAGAATGGTCGAAGAAGAACCCAATTTGGCCGGATTCACGGCCTCAAGTCACGCTTTTGTAACGTCTGAGCAGTAATTTATCGCACCTCGGTCTCTTAGCAACGACAATAGTGACTACACGGGATCAAGTGCAGATTGTCTGACTGCAGCCCCTGATTCTTGATGAATAAACTCAAAGAGAAACAGAAAGTCAAAGGTCAATTTAGCTATTTAAAGCTTTCTAGATGGGAGACTGAATTGTAATGCAGACAAACATCATTTGAAAACCTCTACATGAACATATAAACACGGTTCACAGTTCCCACACACTTAAAGCTAAACAACACGGAGACATTTCCAAGTACATGGATTGCCCATTTGGAATTGTTCATTATAATCTGCCTTCCAGTCTGTTTTAGCTGCTGATTGTGATTGTCATCGCTCAGGTGTATTTTGTATGTACTATTCATATTTTGAGTCAAGGATTACGTTAAATTGTTCTTTGCGTGTATATTATGTCTGAAGAGAACCTCAAAATCAATAAGTGCGTCTCAGAATGACACGGACGAGTGTTTTCGGTGGATTGGGCACTGATCAAAAGTCCTGCAGCTCCAGCCGTAAAGTAGGATTCCATTTTTCAACACCACATCATGACTACCTGCCTCCTTTCGTCCAAATAGAATGATCCAGATGAGTGTTGATAAACGCAGTGGTTAAAATATACAGGGTATGGGAAAAATGAAAGGAGGTCCAAGATAAGAGGCTGCCAGTGTGTCGCTTTGTAGGGGTTTTGTACCAACGCTCGGGGACGTTCTGGCTCTGAATAAATTCATTCAGGCTCGAGGATGACTGTGAAAATTTCAGTCATTGTTAATAAGAATTCTTTTTGTTCACTTGTCTTCCATGTTGCATTTATATTCTCAATAGAGCGATGTCTTGCACGATAACACAGACATTATCAACAAAGCATCAGTGGTCCTGTTGGTGCCTGAATATTTCATGTGTTTTTTTTCTTCGTAAAAAGGCGGAGAAAATGGAGTCATGCAGCTGGCTTATTTTAATTTGCTCCAGCTCATGTTTGATTAATGCCAGTTTTTCTTGTCAGAGCTCATGCAGCACCATTATTTACACAACACCTTGCTCCATTTGCAAATAGCTCTTACTTTCAAAGATTTGTAATGGTACATTTTTAAATGCGTATGAAATAATTAATATAACAATTGGTCAATTTTATAATTTGGCATATATTGAAATCAGCAGTTTCTTTACCTCAAAATACATGGGTTTCATCTAAATTTCAATTATGTGATTGGTTGTGTTTTATTGGCGGTACATTAATTGTCAAATTAGCTGCGTTTCGTTTTCATGGCAGTGATTTCATTGAGACCTCATTTGAACTCTGTGTCGGGAGGGAAGAGGAGGAAACATTAAAAGGGTTTCAAAAGTCCAACAAAGCCAAACAGACGTCCATATTCGTAGCCAGCAAAGCGTTGGTGGAACACCTCAGCGTTCATACAGCAACCCTGTGACCGCCGAAGCGCTATTCCCATCATGCTCTTTCCATTGGATGGATGTTCAAATACAGCATTTCAACAATTTCAGTGGACCACATCCATAAAGACCCCCCCCCCCTCTCTCTCTCTCTCTCTCTGTGTTGCTGTCTCTGTCTCTCTCCCTTTTTCACTCACCCTTTCAATCTTGCTCTCTTTTTCACTCGCGGTGTCTCATTTTCCCTTGTGCAGTATGACATAGTCCATTATCTGCTCTTAGTACTAATTGGTGTGTTAACGCCATACTGTGGGTGACACAGTGAGGGAGAGAGAGAGAGAGAGAGAGAGAGAGAGGGAG